GGGGGGGTACTATGAGTAATCGTCTGTATACTGGATAGTGTACCCGGGCCGTCCCTCATGTCAATTACCTCACCCAGAGACGTATAATACATGTATTATACCTCTCTGCCTCACCTAAGACCTAGACCACCGGTATTATTACAGAGCAATAGGTAGGTGACCAGTGTCCACTAGACTACAAAATAATGTACCATCGCCCCTGACGATGATACCTAAATTTAACTCGGCCACAAGAATTAAGGGAAGTGATTTGGTAACACATATATCAGCCACCTATATATAGATCATCGATGTGTATGTTGAGTGTTCCAGTCGTTGTTATAACCGGACTGTCTTCAATCAATTCTACCGAATTACAAGGTCGAACTTTTAAACAGTTTCAACTCACGAGGCATGGGGCATAGACAACAGAACTTACCATTGCAATATACATATAACATGTTGAATATAGAAATCAGTTCGGGATACAAACGTTATTTTCATGGTTTTAAAGAACATTGAGTTCTAATTTTGAATGAGTCACACAGGTGTATCCATGCCTTTTATCATCTGTATGCTTCAATATTAAGTCCGTACTGGCTGTACAAAATTGCTATTAGATTTGTTTTTATCAGTTTAAACATTTTGTATTTTGATGAATTGGACAGTATACCATAAAGTATGGACTTTCAGTAATCACAGACTTGGAGTAAAATGGCTACAAGTGAAATAAACAAGGACACCTTCCTTTCACACACAGATCATGATGAGCATAAAAGCTTGGCGAATGAAAGTGATGTAAATGTGTTAAAAACAAGAATTCTGCAGGATGTCTTGCTGTGTTCGCTTTGTCAGGTAATGTACACGATTAAGAAAGGAAATTGACAGCATTTTGAAAACAAATATTTTATTTCCAATTATATGTCCTTTTGAAAATTAAAAAAGAAACACACACATAATAAAAAAAAAGTTTTAAAAAAATCAGACATATTTCCAAAAGAAACATTTCAAAAGATATTTGTGAAAAATCAGTATCAGCAAAGTCAATGGACCTTGAAATAAAGGTTACAGGTCACACTCAGCATCAGCAGCATAGAATGTGTCCAGGTTGTCATCTGTAACAGGGATCCAAGCACGATTATCCTAGCATCGTACAAACGGAACCTAAACGTTGGAGCTAAATATGAATGTCTTGCGGAGCTTCCGTCGCCGGGGAAAAAACCTCCTAAATCTCGCTTTTGCCCCTTCGTTGCGGCGAGACAACAACAGATAATACCCTTTAATTAAGTTTTACATGAAGAGGTATTTAATGGGTTTAGACACGGACTTAGATAGCAAATCTAATTCCGTGGTTTAGATATCCCTAATTAGTAATATTCGTGACATATTATTATCGATTGTATTTCTTTTTGAAGATGTTCATCTTTGATTACAATGAAGGTAATTAAAATGTCTATTAGGAGAAATATTCTAGACTCTGGTATAGGATAAAATGTACGTTGACTAATTGGTACAATTAGGTTCTTTCGTCTTTTTACCCCGAAAAGACAAGAATTAAGACGAAATAGCGAAAAGGCCAGAAGGCCAGAATTAACTAACCCTAACTCGTGTTTTTCGTCTTTCCCCATCCCAGTAAAGACGAAAAATAACCAACCGGGGCGAAAACACGAAATGTCGAGCATTCGAAGTTACTAAATCTCGGGTTTTTTCGTGGCGAAACGACGAAACAATGTGCTGATTTACACTTCATTTATTCTTATACAAAATGTACAGTCTTACACTGCATGTCACAGACAATTATAAAGGGTGGTGAACCCAAAATACCTGTGCGTTATATAAAGAACACCCAAACTTGCTTGATAATATATATATATATTTTTTTTAAGTATACATTTTTAATAGAATTTATTACATAATTCTATACATAACCTACCGTAGTAAAACTGAATTTCATGTATCAACGTTTCTTTGTGTTAAAGGCTGAATGTAATTAGCTCAACTTTAGAGAGAGAAAAACTACCACCAAGGATAAGTTTCTTTGTCACTATCATCGATTAGTTGTATAAGTCCCTTTCTATAGAAATGTTCCATACACATCACACATTACGCTGCTGTTTTACAGAATTACAGTTCTTTGTAACGAGTATTTGAATTCAAATATAGAGAATCAAATAAAACAAGAAAGACAAACAAAACACTATTCGACACAGTGTGTATACACTCTTTATCGATAGGCGAAACGTCCCGGGTCGAGTGACACACAGGGGCACGTTACAAATGTCTGAAATACACACATATGCTATGCTGATATGGGTCACAACTCACATAAACATACATGTATCTTTATGTGTGTTGTGGCCCATATCAGTATAGCATATGTGTGTATTTCAGACATTTGTAACGTGCCCCTGTGAGTGACATATGAAATAGGTTTAGTCTCGCCTAGCATATATTTCTGAAATACCTAGTTAACTAGCATACATTTCTTTCTTCACACCTAATAACAAATTGGTTAAAGTCTGTTTCAAAAAGATGTAGGTGAATACAGTATCCAGTATACAGACGATTACTCATAGTACCCCCACCCGTCCCACCCGGCCCACCCGACCGTCCCACATCCAGATACACAATGCAATACTTCTTGTGAAACTTAAAACTTTACTTAACGAATATTATTCCATGACACGTCAGGAGATGGTATACATATATTAAAAGGTAAAAAGGATACGTTTATTTCAATTATCTATCAGAAGTCAAAATAGTTATGGTTTTTTTTTACAATTATGAATTATTATAACATCACAGCTGTAATATACTAATAAAGCTAACTGCATGTCAATCCAATCTTTAATTATTGTTGATAAGAAGTTCAAGTTCAAGTTCTTTTAAGTAAAACCTCATTAACTTACCTTGATATCAATTATTTTTTAAACATAAAATGTTAATTCGTTGTCTATAATTTTCAACTTATGCAATCACAGTTGATTGAATGTTGTTTTATTTTGATAGTTGTTCCTACAAAATTTTATTTTCAAGCTGATTTCGTGCGGACAAAGAAAGGAAAAATGATTTTGTAATCTTCACTTTTCATTACATCGCAAATGTCAAGATTTATTCAAACTTTGAGCCGTGGGCCCATCAGTAAGTACAAGATATGCAAAAGGCAATGTTTAGAGAATATATAGAGATGATCGATGTGCATTATATACAAGATAATTAGTTAAGGGGTTCTGAATCCTGAATTCAAAGTTAATTTCCCTAACATACATAGCTGTTTTCTATATTTGACACTTGTAAACAACTGAATAGCATTTCAGACAGATTTTTTTCAATATTTTTTTTTTTTTTCAATTAACCGCGCTCTAAGATTTGGAAATTTACTACATATTTATAGAAAGTAAAATTCATCTTTCATTTATGTGGGTTGCATTCCTTCCGATCTCGTAGTTCTCTAGTATTTTTTTTTTATATCTTACAGTGCCAATTAATGTTAAGAAGTACTTAATCTGGTCAGACATATTCTATACTTTACTGGAACGTTGATGAGAAAATATTGTACCAAAAGTCGTTTACATGGAAACAATTCGGCGAACTATCTATCGAAGGTTGTTCACCCTGATCAATAATTGTATCTCTATATCATAATTACCTTTTGGTTTCCAACACTGTAGAGATTTAACCAAATACATGTATCTCCAAAACTCCTAAATTGTATAAATACCAACCCTTACAGTGTTAACCAATACAAACATTTCTACCACCACAGAAGTTTACTAAAACCCATAACTGTTTGAAACAATAAAGATTTCATTATATAAAAATCCGTAATATTATATGTTATCCTTCTAAACCGGTTGCTGGTTACCTCCAAGGGGAAGCTTCATAATTAACAGTATATCATATTATGATTTTATGACATTTTCACAAATAATTTCTTGCAAAAAGTTCAGATGAACCTTTTTTGTATTTTACCTCCAGATTTGACTTCCATAATAAGTACGATATCAAAAAGATGGAGCATTGTTTTGATATTTAATTGTAAATTAAGAGAACAAGAATAATACAAAAGTAGATTTACGCCCTTGGGCAGCCAATTCTTTTCGTATGATATTGAAGTTATTACTTGAGCTTGAAATTATACCCATATAAGGGTCTTCACATTTTACCATGCTGTACCTTTATACATGTAATACCATATTTCATAGTTATAATTCTTCCTTCTTTACATTTTACGTAAACATATTGTATTTTTATGTAGGTTTTCAATAAGTTCCTACGCGAATAAGGTAAATAATTAAAAAAAAAAGGTTCAACAATGGTTAAGTGCCTAGTGACAGATGATCTTAAAATATGGTATTTTTGACCAAGCGGTTACAAATGCTAAATGTTTATTTTCAACGTTAACGCTCGGAATAACCTGCGACAAATAAAATCCGTGGTTTATGTAACTAATGCTGTTTACATATTGAACTGCCCATGCAAGGGAAAAGTAGGTTTTTTTTGTTATGAGGGTATTTGTAATATTTTAAGTCTAAAACAAATGCAAGATATTTGAATGAAGCAGGGAAGTATACACTATCAACTCTTAAAACATATATATGCTCATCGTTATTGCTCATTGTCAAATCATTGTGTTGTTACAATTTTACCGGACTTCTCAATGAGGTAAGCTAGAGTTACCTCCCTCTGTCAACAACAAATCCTGCGTACAACCACGGACGTAGATAGCAATTAAATCTTATTCCGAGCTTACATTTAACATCAGGCGGACATGATATAATGTGGACAGTATATTGTTGCATTATTTTTATCTAAATTATTTTTATTATCTTTTAGATAAAAATAATACAACAAGATTCTATTCTATTTCTAAGTATACCTAGAAATAAAATAGAAGTTTTCCTCAAGTGAAGCACCGACAGCTGCTACAGTGTATACATTTGCTCAAATCCAATTCGTCCCATCTCCACTAATTACACACCGGTTACGTCCTAAGGAGGCGGTGTTTACCTGACCAATTGTTCTTTTGCCGAGACACGTACACACCACTGGCTTTATACGTCTCAATGACCGTCCACTGACCGTCCACTGACCATTCACTTGTGGACATATGGGATTCTGATTATGATGGACTGTACCCAATCTTGGCCACCATGTCAACTAACCCAGCCTATCGCTGTAAGGTATACAAGTAAGTCAGTACCCACCTATACAGGTTACTCCCCGCCCCCTACCCCTTCGCACAGGGACGTGAGCATTTGTTACAGCTATATTTGGACCTAAAGTGAGGCGTTAAGAGTTATCTTACACGTTTTAAGGAATTAAATCGACTTCCGGTAAAAAAAATCCACCCCTAATGATGATATATCCTAAAGTTGATCTAAACCACTAAAACGCGTAAAATTACTCTGAACACCTTAGTTTAGATCCAAATATAGCTGTAACAAATTATCAGGTTCCACAAATTATCATATCTCACGATATCCTTTGTTATGTATTTCTTCCAACCTTTATGAGATCTGCAGCTGCAACAAGCATAGCAATCATTTCAAATATTAAAACAATATTATACAATTATGGACTTCATGTGAGGTCTATCCCTGATTTACGAACCTGGTATGAACAATATTGTTCAGACCAGGTCCGTAAATTAGGGATAGACCGAAACTGGAGTCCACAATTGTTTTATTATATGGCATTTTACCATGAGATTAATATTGTTTTATGTCGTAAACACATGGAGGGCGTGAACCATTTTGGAATCACAGAGAGGACTTCAAATACAAAATAACATACACAAAAACTTGAATTTCTGAAGTAAATATTATTTGCACAATCGACATCATCAATAATTACATAGTTCAGAACTTGATGAGCTAATTCATTAGTAGTTGAATTCAGCAGTGTGATTGGTAACAGAATAACAGACTAGATGGGAAATTACCTAGGCCCATTTTTAGTAGCGGTCTGCATCACTTTTCTATTTATAGGTCGTGGTTTGTAACACTTTTCTATTTATAGAACGAGGTCTGCAGCTGATTCGATGTCTGGGAAATTACGCAGGTCTATTTTTAGTAGCGGTTTGCATCACTTTTCTATTTATAGATCGAAGTCTGTTACACTGTTAATATATCTTTTCTCGGGTTGATAAATCCAGGTATTGACCTCAGTCAAAGGCTATAATTGAATAATATCGTACACGATACACTCTTGGCGTATCGTGACACCCTTCATAGTGTGCAATGTTTTTGTTCCAATTATTAATATCTTTAATGTCCTATTCGTCTTGTTTTAAGCAATGTCATAGGTACACAGCTATTTCAGACTCATGACAAAACCATGAAAACTCTACCGTTTATCCTATAAAAGAATATCTCTTGTTTAGAATGTTGTTTTTATTCTTCGTTTTTCTATACAACCTTCTATAGTATAGCTTAATTTGGCTTCATATAAAGCACTTTTTACAATTTTATGGTCTGACATATTTTTATTAACTAATTCCTTCTCTTGTTATAGTGATTGAAGGTATTTATTTAATCTAAAAGCCTCGCCATTGAACACTGAATGGCCAAAACGTACTTACAAACGTGACGGGACCCGCTACTATATATACACAACAGCTTAACAACATAAGCGAGGGTGATCAACTCCGACATAGCGTTAATGATTTAATCCTCTTTCGGTAACTAAAGAACAAACCTGTGGTTGCTACAGACGACAGAGTACACTGCACCGTTTTTACTATCACCACTTCGTGACGGACACTAAAAGGACACGCATCGTACAACGCAGCCATGTCGGACGACCAAGTTGATTTAGTAGCCAGGGATCCCAACGGCCTTAACGCCCATTTGGGGGTAAGTTATTTTATTACTCTATGATTTGTTTAATTTTAAATAATACCTAAATGTTTATTTCCTCTTTTGAAGTTCTGTACGTTTAGTATTATTATTGTAATAAATAGTAAATTTTAGCCAGTAAAAAACAGGACTCGGTCTGTGATGAATTTCGGATAAATGTATTCATGTTTTCCCCCCAATAAGATCAGAAGCAGTAATTTGTCGTGAAATGTTATTTTAGTACATAGCATAAAAATTGTCCTAAAACTCAACTAGATACTAACTGTAAAATTAAGAATTTTGCTCAAATCACAGAGCGGCAAAAGCACCAAATATTAAGAAGAAAAAAAATCAAGCATAATTGTATACGGGATAGAAAACGTATTATTATACTTATTTTTCGTGTATTCATGAGTCCATTGCAGAAAGCTTTCTGCGAGACCAGAATAAGAAATAAACTTAGCTTATAGGATTATAGTAAAAACACGAAAAAATGCTAATGTCGTATTTAAGTTTAAATAATGAAAAACATAAAACAAATCTTCGACAAAAATATCGAACTAACCAATATCGAAATCAAATTGAACTGAGGTAAGTGACTGAAGACATTTGTGGGGACGAGAAGGGAAGATGCACGGGAATTGGGAATCTTACCGCTTCAAATAACGAGTACATTGATCTGTTATCAGATATTGGTTAAAACTGAACACTCTGCTTTAGAAATTCTCAGTTAAATGAAACTGGGGTAAATGGTAAAGAGTGGGGTGTGTAAAATTATCTGTGGATTGATCCGAATTCGCTCAGTATATGGCAAGTCCAGAAAACTAATGATGATCATTCTATCACAATCATGCTGACGATATCTGACATCTTTAACAATATTAAAGATATAGATCAATTACCTTCTTAATTTAATTTTTAAGTGCCCTTATTTTAACTGATATACGGAGATTATACACACGAAATTTTCTTTCTGAAATAAGGAAATTTTACACCAAAAATAATACCATGGATAACTATGACATTTTTAACAATATTAGAGATAAAAAAAAGTATAACATTCCACAAACAGGGGAACTACAAAGGTAATGTGCTGAACAAACCTATATATTTTTCTACATAAATTAGGTTATAATTAATACCAAAATTAAAATATCGTCAAATATATTATATAGAATGATCGAAATATAAAATGAATTCTTTTGTTAATGGGGATATAGATTACCTACTTGATTTCATTTTTAAGTGCCCTTATTTTACTGATATACGGAGATTATACACATGGAATTTTCTTTCTGAAATAAGAAAATTTTACACCAAAAATAATACTACGGGTAACCACTCGCATAAATTAATACGATTGCTGTCCACCGAGAGCAATCAATAAATACATAAATAAATAAACAAAAATAAAAAATAAATGAATGAGTAAATAAATATTAAACAAACAAAAAATAAATAAACCATGGTCCATTCTTACTAGATATCTTAGAATAGCCCATAAATAAGTTGTACATGTCACTGTTTTAATTTATTACAAAAGAGTGTAAAATGGCCACTTTCCACCCGTACTCAGTTTAAAAATACCTAAAGGTAAGAACGGTGGCGCGAGCTGACGACTTACAATGTACTTATGCACCGTAGGACTCAAAGTAATACAAATTGAACTGATATCTTGATAATCGGATTTAACTCGTTTAAAATTCCCCTAGGGAAACGACACAGAGAAAAAAAGATAAAATAAAACATTTAAACAATGATTATACTGATATAAATACTTAAATATTACCGTGCTCCTATTTAAACATCTATTGAAATATCTATTGAAACGGAAATTAATTTAAATATGGTACACCTTAATATTATTCGTTACTGAAACTGCTTTGTAATTTCGTTTTATCGGACAACGCTAAGGATTGTTATCACCCCAACCCCCATTTTTACCGGATTGGGTACAAGTTCTGACAACTTACTAGGCCCTCTTCCGAAAATGCAACACACAGTTACACTTAAGATATAACACGTGATGACAAAAATGTTCAGCATGCATTCATAGACAATTTACTGTTTGACATGAAAACAGCAAGGGGAATGGGAAGTAGTGAGGGAAAGGGTGAAAGGAGGGGGAATTTACCGGTTGATTATGATGGTATTAATGGTAATATGGTAAATAGTCTTCATTTTGTTTTTAGACTTTGCTGTTTAACGATGTCCTGGGTGAGCCCGATGGTACCCACAGTATCGACTGCGTCTGGAAGCTGTCCTACACATGTTTCGAATTGTGGAAGGGACTCTGCTACAAACTCCTCACCCTCTTCTGTGGTATCTGTATTGCAGCGGAATGGGGCTGTGAGTTCGCCTACATTGCTTTCTACCATATCTGGTTCATCACCCCATGCATGAAGGTCTTCGAGATCAACTGTGGACTCTGCCAGAAGATCTACGCCATGATGATCAATTGCTGCGTACAGCCATTGACGGAGGCTTGTGGCGGATGCTTTATACATTTCAAGAATTAAGAAACATCATCAAACAGGCGGAGACGGTGAACATTTTCAGTACCGTATCAATATGTTTATAATGGAAATGAAAAACAACACACGAATTTACACGGACTATTTATGACCGACGTAAAAAGATTGTGCACGCATGCGCAATGTCATGACGTCATAAGTTTTGAAGCCGATATGACACGTCTCCAGCTATTGAACCAAAGTGCCAAACGCAGACAATTGTACACAAAGTCATGTCAGAGAGATATGTGTAAATAAAAAAATAGTCACATAACACAAGAGTTTCTGCCTCTTCTTTCATTTAACAAATCTAGTTCGGGGTACGCTTGTAACCAGTTGCCAGGGTAATACTGTTCTAACTAGAGCTGTAAGTCAAAGGCAAAATGTTATCCCAACCATTAATCATTTGTTTATTTACTGAGCTGAACACCTATTTTTGTATATACTTATTTTACTCCCCGTGTCAAAACATATTTGCTTACCAAATCTGGTAAGTCCAGGTGAACTAGTAAAAGATATGACCCAAACAAACTTTTGAGAGGCTGAGGTAAAAAGAGTAAACAACAGGTCACATTGACCTACTTTGTGTGTTCCACCATCCAATACACAGATACATAAGCCGCCATATCAAAAAAATGAAATACGGAAAAATTGTTCCCCCTAAAAGAGTTCCTAAATGGAGATGAAACAATTGAAATAATAAATAGGAAGTACACAACTACATGATGACAGGGGGTAATTATCATATCTGCAAAGACACGAAAAGGATTTTTCAACAAAGGGCCATAACTCCATTAAAAAGGGTTTGGAATGAAAAAATACACCTAGATGCAAAACGTCAGGGAGTTGATCCCATATCTGCTAACTTTCGTTGAAATCGGCACAGAAGTTTAGGAGAAGTTAAACTGACAAGGATTTTTCAGCAAAGATCATGATTCCATAAAAAGGGTCAGAATAAAAAAATAATACCTGAATGCACAACATCGGGGGATTGTATCATATCTGAAACTTACGTTGAAATTGTCCCAGTGGTTTTTGAGGAGTTGTCTGGACAATGATTTTTCAACAAAGGGTCATAACTCCGTAATAAAGAGTCAGAATAAAAACAAACACCTCGATGCACAACATTTTACGTACATGTTAAATTGTATTTAATGCGCTGAAATAGAACGGGTTGTAATGCATTTTTTATCAAGAGACCAAGAAAACATGGCGCCGACTCCATAAAGTATTTTTGTTAGAACCATAATTTTTGTTATTTAAGCATTAAACTGCCCATTTTGGAAAGTTATTGTTATTGCAGACAAATTGAATAACGCGCGTTATGATTAATTTGTCTGCAATCCTGTCAGAATTTTAGAACAATAACTTTCCAAAGAAGGCAGTTTAATACTTATATTTCCAACCCGTAATCGTATTTCAAAGTCAAATTTCGCGCTATCTGTCAATGGAACATGTTCTTGTGACGTCACGGGTACACGCGACCGTTCCCGGCAAAAACAATACAGTTCGTGGTAATAAACACAAAATCATCAATTTAATTTTAACAATTTAATCAATATATTCCACCGTGAGGATATTCACCTTTTTATACAGCATAACTACATAAATTGTTGCGAGTTACATTGATAAATTGGGTTTTTCAATCCGGTAGCACGGATGGGTTACCACGACGTCACGAAAATGTTCTTCATATCACGACACCAATGGGAAATATGTGAGAATTATGATATGATATCTTTCAATTTTGTTTGGTAAGGTTATATTCCGTCTTTGCGTACCGCAGAGTTATCTTCTCTTAGGAGCAGGTATTGTTTGTTACGTCACTTGTTTGTGAGAGTAACGTCATCAATTTTTGAGAAAACGACGTAATTTTCTCGCAAAAACCAATGACGTAACAATCAATACCTGCTTCCAAGAGAAGATAACTCTGCAATACGCAAAGACGGAATAATGGCAATGCAGAGCAAATGGAAATACACTACTTTAACTGGTAAGTGAAAAATTCAAACTGTTGCCAGTAAGAAAACAAGGTCTTTCAAAGGAAAATAAAACACGTCAATCTTATTTGTCTCAACAAGTCTATAGCAGTGAAATGATATCACACGTTCTTAAGTTTTATTGTGTTCACTTTTGAAAATGTTACCTAACAAATAACGGGTTATATCTAACCACCTTCTAAGCATCCGGGGCCAGCAGTCAAGGGCAGATAACCGGGGCCAGATTGTTTTACTTCCCTGCTGCACGCTTCCGTGTACCACTGGTGACAAGTCCATTAACAGAGTGGACACTGGTCAGTGTATACCCAACACTAACGACCAGAAAGGTGACAGGTCGAACAACTTATAAGGACACTCATTAATGAATTTCGAACCAAAAAATGATTGCCGCTCTATAAAAAAAAATTCCATCCAAATTTTCCTTTACGTATCTATATTTCAATATTAGAAATCAGTATTTTAAAGTTCATATAATATTATCTTATTTCGCTTTATGTAAATATAGTTGTAAAACTGTCGTGAACAAATAACTTAGGATAACCCCCCCGTAATTTCTGTATGCATGCAATTCAAAGTTTGATTGTTTGTTTTCTTACAAGTTCTCTGAAACAACGCTTAATATCATCATGAACCGCTGGGTTTTTTCCAAATCCCCATTTTTCAATAGGTCCCTGTCCTTCGGGTTGTAATTATGACACACAATGCTCCTCCCATTACATGTTAATGAAAATCCTTTCATATTTTTTAATCGTTAATGACCCATGAAATAAAAAAAAACGTGACGGGTCTAGCTAATGCAGATCTCCGTCATAAACTTTGCTTAGTCAATCACGCATGTCGTCACGTTTTTTGACGTTATTTGTGATTGGCTAAGTCAAAACTTGGACATTTTTAGACTTCATATCCTTAAAAATATTATCCTTAGGCGGGTGTCAACGCCTGCCTATATTTTCATGTTGCCGAATCATTATCACTCGAATTCACATTTCACTGTCGAAAAATCCTCTAAGTAGAGTCGCCTACGTTATAGCTCATTCGAAAATTAAACCACTGTTTCTTCATTGTTTTTCTCAACAAGGTCGCTCAAGCCGAATGATTTAGTCATGAGCAAATTTTCACATGAAAGAGTTCCTAGATCCCCGAAATGACGTTGCGATGTTACGTTATACAAGTATGGACCTCAGGTGAGGTCTATCCCTGATTTACGAACCTGGTCTGAACAATATTCACAGAGGCCGAAGGCCGAGGTGAATATTGTTCAGACCAGGTCCGTAAATCAGGGATAGACCGAAACTGAAGTCAACAATTGTTTCATTATATGATATTTTACAATGAGATTAATATTTTTTTCAAGTCATAAACACATGGATAGCATGGACCATTTTGGAATCACAGAGTGAAGGACCTCAAATACAAAATAACATACACAATTTTTTTAAATTTCAGACTCAAAATAGATGTTCAGAATTTGATGAGATAATTCATTTGTAGTTGAATTCAGTAGTGTGATTGGTAACAGAATTACAGACTGGCTGGGAAATTACCTACGCCTATTTTTAGTAGCGGTCTGTTACACTTTTCTATGTATGTGTCGAGGTCTGTAACACTTTTCTATTCATAGAACGAGGTCTGTAACAGGTGATTCGTTTGCAATTGGCTGTTAATCGATGTCTGGGAAATTTCCCAGGCCTATTTATAGAACGAGGTCTGTAACATATTTACAGGCTCGTTACATGACGTCGCTCCTCCAATCAGGGCTGGGAATTAGCACCAGTCATATAATAACATATATTACCGTATAAAATGTATAAATGAAAGAAAAAAGTTCGGAATTTAAATGACGTGGTGTGTAAGTAAATTCAGTTACCCCGTTCACACTTGCATCAATTTGAAGAAATCACTACGGTTTATATTTTACTTCTTATAGTTATGAAATATAGTTCTACAAATTAAGCTGTGCGTTTCTATTTTGTTGAGCGAAACATTCGCACAGCATGATTTTATTTAAAAATCTCATTGTGTTTTGATCACTTTGATATCCTGGACGGCCTGCGAGCTTACCAGTGATACATGGTTTCTTTACGCGGCAAAAGAGGGTTCAATATTCTAATCCAAGGGTTCTCAGTTTAACCTTGCCGCGACATTTACTAATCATGCATGAACCTTTGACCTTTTCCGTTTATCGAGTGTTTTGAATATTTGCAGTTACGTAAGCATGTTATGCGACAAAAAAAATAGAGTCTGATTTTTTTTTTTCAATATGAATTTTAAGATTGTAAAAGCTAATAGAAACCATGAACAAATAAAATTGCCATTATTATGGTGACATTATCATGTGATCTTGTTTGGAAATATATTCACGGGAAAGAAGTGTCCGGAGATATCTTAAATGTAACCGTTCACAAAGAACCATGCTACCGTCAGACTGCTGTGAGAGCACCTTAAAATCTAACCGTTTATCACATCAAACTTCCTTATAACTATCTGACGACGGTAAAAGTTGTGCACATCTGTATGCACACGTGTCAAATCGATCAATGATTTACATATCGATTTATTTACTAATATAAGTGGTATATTAAATAAAGACTTGTTTCAGATTCAGATTCAGATTCTTTATTTCCTTATGTTTACAACACATCGGTGAGTAGACATACTTATGTACAAGATATCACAATGTATAACACAAATTACAGTTGGTGCAATAGTGTACAATGCATAACATAGATTATTAAAACACAATATACCTGTATGTGGGTATAACATACAGAACATGCAGTATTATATTTAGTTAAACAATATTATTTCGTCGTTTTGTACTTAAATGCAAAAATTTGCCTAGGTTATTTAGATCTTTAACGATTTTGGTATTGAACAGTTTTATTAACTTGAAAACACATGGTCGTTTGTAAAAATAAGGTTTAATATATTCATGCCTAAAATCCTCATAAAATTTGCATTTAAGTATAAAATGGAATTCATCTTCAACATCATTAGCGTTACAGAATGTACAAAGTCGTTGTTCTCTTGGTTGATTTCTGTACCTGCCTTGCTCAATATTTAAACTATGTGAGCTTAATCTAAAACGTGTTAAGTATTTTTTGTATAAATTATTGATAGGTTTTCTCAAATA